GTAAATGGGAAAAAGGCAAAGACGCTTGTAATATTTGTAGTTTGTAATATTCGTTTCTTATGTTTCAATGTTGGGGTCCATTTACAACTATGCTAATACATTCAAATTGATGGTTGGCTTTACACGTCAGTCACGTAATCTACAGCTTCTTACTAACAGTGACTCCAACAAAAGACAAGCGAGCGAAAATACGTTCTGGAGGTTAGGGAAGATGGCATGGGGATTCGGACCGAAACTTCCAGTTCATTAATCAGGGAACAAATGCAAATATCACGGCTAACCCCCACAGCTACTAAGTTGATAGACTGCTTCGTAAACATTAGCATACCTCTTTCACAACGCAGCAAGCATCGCCATACCCCCACCCTTCCTCCTTGTGGTTACCTTAAAGTGGTTTGCTAAAATTGTGACTAGGTATTGCTGAGGGAAACTGATCATTGTTAGAATTTTGTGCCCAAATGTCAGAGTTATCCTAGTAACTTATATTTAGAGTATTAAATCAACAAGTGTTTCAAGAAATGTTGTCAACCATCCTCCATTTTTTACCCGAGATGATGTCATTTCTACATTTAAGAAATGTTGTTTCGGAAATAATCATTAGAGTAACATCATTAATATAACTACTGTGATTATTATTTCCAGTCAACAATGCAGGAATAGGTATGTCTGGTGCACTTGAGACTCAAACAATGGATATGACAAGGAAAGTGTTTGAGACCAACTTTTTTGGAGTGTTGCGCCTCACCAAAGCTGTACTTCCAAGCATGAAATCTAACAAAGATGGGCACATCATGTGCGTAACAAGCATGGGAGGTATCTTTGGAACACCCTTTAACAGTGTTTACTGTTCGTCAAAGTTTGCAGTGGAAGGTCTTATTGAGTCACTAGCTCCAATGCTCAGGATGTTTAATGTGAGGTAGGCAGTATAATTATGGTGCTGTACTATGGATAAGTGATACTTGCATCTGAAAATAGCATGGAAAATTACAACTACATTGTTTATTCAATAATAAGTCTGGCTTCTGGGCAAATAAAGTGTGTATTTAAAATCTGGGGGGTACTCCCAAAAAAGGTGGGTGGTGTGTGCATAGTAAATATAGGGAAATTGTTAGGAAACCTGGCAAAGTTCTTTGTTTTATGTTCTTGTTTGCTATTTTGGACATTGACCTTGCACAAATCCTGTGCTCATACAACTAACCAAGAGCAGCAAAATGATTATGTAATTCGCGCTTAGTCTTTGGGCAGAAAACTAAGGATGTGCAGGGTCATGGACCTTCCAACATAAATCTTAGCCCACTACATTGATGTTTACTGGCCTTCCTAACCATTTCTCTCTATTAATTATGGTGTGTGCAGTCCACATCTCAAAACCCTTACCCTATTTAAGCCAAAATCTGTGATTTTCCCCTACCCTATTTATGACCTGACCAAAAAATTGATTGCCAGGGACAGATCAAGGGGGAGGGTCCAGGTGCCCTCCCCCCGCCCCCCGGGATGAAACCTTCTTCTTCTTACTCACTTTTAAAATTTGTTTATCTCACCAGTCAGCTACACCATTCCTTAGTGGTGCACCTCTTCCTATGAAAAATCCTGGATCTGCCCATTTTAATTTAGGACCTGACTGGTTGATCAACACCCTGTTTCAGACCTGCCCTATAATTATTAGTTTCCTAGTTCAGACTGATGCTAGAGGCATTGTGAAGAGCTTTTGTTGATGGTCTTATTAATTAGCTTTTTCTATAAAACATACTCAATTCAAGACTTGAGTGCAAAAACCATACCCTATTTGAGACCAAAATTACCAAATGGATACCCACTTTCTGAGCAAAATAGCTGAAAAACCATATCGTTTGGGCCACACATACATATATAGCCCATATAAGGGAGTACCCCCAAGATTAAGATGAGGTTGAATTTTAAAATCTACCTTAAGTTGACATCAGCTGATCCATCTACTGATTCATGGCTTCATGACTCCAGTAAAGCATAAAATATTTATACCACTGTACAGTTGTCACCCATCCACATCTCTATGATTCTTTTTGAAATCCTCCTGATTGCCACCACAAAATTGTACTTTATGCTCAAACATCAACATGATGCTAATATATTTCAGACTTTCAACTAAACATTTGACCAGGATTATGCCTGACTCTTCAGGGCCATAGCCAAAAAATTTATTATTGTGACTGAGGCAGTGCCTGTTGTTAAATTCTCTTCCTAGGTATTAAGGGTGTTTTTGATGACTCAAAAATAAACAAACAAAACATGACTGAGGCAAAGTGCCTCGGCTGGCCTGCCTGCTCTTCTAGAATTGAAATGTCCAGCTGTCAGAATCCAACACAAGCCAGAGACCTGACTAGGGCTTGAACCTAGACTGCTTGGAATGGTCCAAAGTCTAGCACACCAACCATTAAGCTGCTCCACCTCCCACTAGGGTTTCCTTTTATGGAGGTTCCATTGTATACGGTCCATAATTTGAATTATTATTTTAATCTTTTATTAACAGATGTTCTTTAATTGAACCTGGACCAGTTTCAACTTCTTTTGTTGCCAATTTATCCCACACGGCTACAAGTGACGACAGCCTTTTAGATGAGGAGACAAAACAGCTTTATGACAACTACTCCAAAAAGATGCGAGCTGCCTTCACCACAGTGGTACAGACCCCAGATGAAGTCAGTCAGGTGATCTTAGAGGCATTACTAGCTGACAAGCCTCACTTGAGGTACCAGACTAACAAGAATTATGCAGCAGCCACATCCAGCAAGCTAGCAGACCCAACTGGTGACACATCTGTAGAACTTATGTCCCAGCGTTTCTTCCATTAGATTTCTTGCCAACATGGCGGACATTCTGTATTACATTTCAGATAGGATATCTTTAAAAATATGTCAAAAACTGGTTATTAAGCCACTTCTGGATGAACCATTTTAAATTTCATTATTACTTGTGATAATATTTCTCTTGCAATAATTTGTAGCACCAAACACAGAAGTTGTTTTACTCTTTCTTTCAACTGAGAAGATAACATTAAACACTTGAGACTATTCTTCACTACTCCACTGCAGCTGACTGCACATAGTATTTTCATCTCTCAGTGTGGTAAAACATTGTCTCTCATGTTTGATATACTGCATAATAAATTCATATCACTTTCAGTTTGTCAATCATGCAGCCACAAAAAAATTGAGATGAAGAATTTTAATTCTTCACAACTAAATCACTGTTATCCTAAGGGCCCATTAACCAATCTTTTCGAGCCGTTGCTAAGGAAAATTTATTCTCATATAACCTCATCATTTTTAGTTAGTTCAGAGTTATTTGATGTGTTATAACATTTTCATGATCAGTAACAGTAGTGATGACGTCATCAGACCACGCCCATGGTCATGTGACTAATACAGAAAAAATGCAAAGGCTCCCAGGCAAATTACTTAATCTGAATTTTTTTCATTGATTTACTATTTTAATTTAAATCCTCATTACGCTATGCATCAATTTTGTTTTATTTCTAAAAGGTCAGATTTTAAGAGCATTTTGAAATATTGAAAAATTCGTAATTTTCTGAAAAAAGCATGATTTCAAAAAAGGAATGCATAGCTATGTTTCCAACATTGGCTTTAATCGAAATTCATCGAAAAAGGCTGGATTTAATGAACAACCGCGTTTCCTGTAGCATTTAAAGAAACCGGAAGTGCGCCCGATATCTATTGGAAGTTACCCTTTCAGCACGTGCGCAGTTTACACTACCAGCGCACTTCGGTAAGATCAAACAAAGCCACATGGAGTTAGTTTTTCTCTTTCTATTGCTCTTGTTTTTCTTTCTTTCTCTTATTTTGTCTTTGCTCGTACTTGTTTTACTTTGCATTTTGTAAAATACAAAGAAAAACACCTAAAACGTAAGCGAATTTGCAAGTTTTTGAGTTATTTTTATTTTTCGCGCTCAGGCTGACTTAAGTAACCAGAAGTGAAATTTCACCTCCTTAGCAATGCGCGCGAGCACACGCATAAATCGGTTAATGGGCCCTTAAAAGATAATAGTGTTCATGCAGCACACTCTTTTCTCCCAAATATCGCCTTGCTTTACTGGGAACTCAAAATGATTTAGGCCATCACAAATCTAACCTCATTATTTCTCTCTACACAAGGCTTCACATTGGTTACCAACAAAGTTTTCATTGCCCAAGGGTCCCCCACTCAGGGAAGCAGATGACAAGTGCGTTAGGTGATTCTGTCGCACACAAACTGGTCTCGGAGATCTCATAAATTAGGCCAACAAGGTTTCAGATATAGGCCTATTTGAACGCTAAGAACTTGCTTTGGATGATGCTAAAGCTACTAAATACATGCCAATGATTGTCTCAAGGAAACTCCCATATAAAAGTAATGGTGGCATCAGACAATGCCTACTCTCACAGAATATTTGCACATTCGTATTTTAATTATTTTTTTAAAATTCTAATGTGGACCACAATAAGTAAACTAATGTTCCCCCATCAAAGAACTTCATTACATCTCAATTTCCTTTAAGAAGCGATGAATATTAACACCACAAACTCATCACACACTTTTTCCCAACCACTTCCCCCCACCCCTGCCCCCATTACCCCTCATAGTGCAAGATACAAAAATGGAGGGTGCAAAGGGTTCTGTAAGTTGTATTTCTCTTGTGGGAAATAAAAACAATTGCAATTACCAAAGTCAAGCAAAAGACCAGACTACTTTATGGTACATGTATATGAAATGATCCTTTAAGATTGATACAGATTGTAAAAGAATTAGAAGAAAAAATTTGGGATTTACCAAAGATATAGATGATATAGATTTTGTGTATACAGCTGTAGGTCCCTTACACCAGCACGAAAAAGAACAGTCATAAATGTCCCTTCCCTGATGGGCTTTGTTGCTGGGGTTAATTTATTTATTTATGATGGATTAACCACAACCCTCACTACATTTAGAATTTCATGTTGAGTAATTGACCCATTCCACAAATACAACAGTTCTTGTTTATTCAAAACTTTCTCAGATTATTTCGATAATTTTGCCCCCATTTCAAAAGTAACCTAAAGGTATACCTACATTTCCTTTTTGTAACATTAAAAGATCAGCCTCTTCGACTCCACAATGACGAAGGTAGTCACACATCTGCAGTGAAACATGATGAACAGTCTGTCAGCCTCTTCAAGAGCATGCAACTTCAAGAAGCCCATCAAGGGTGTTCATTTGATAAAATATTGCAAAAAAATATATCTGGCATTCTCATGTAATGAGTACCGAGAACTATGTAGCTGAACCCTTTGGACGCATTGTGTGTAAACCCATCAGTCATGTGAAGTCAAGAGAAACTTGACTCTGAAGATGACTTCTTAGAATATTAAAAATTTTGGTCAACAATAACAACAGCTCTTTTGAGTAGTTATCCTCACCTGGATCATCATGTTAAATGAGCTATCCAATATACTTACTATTCTCCAATCATAATCGCATTTTCTGAAAACTGATTGCACGGCAGCAGCTCCAGACTTCCAGCCTTCCAAGACTGCATCCATCTTGTCACCTCTGAGGTATTTATCACTCGCACAACAATACTGCACCCTTAACCTTTAAAAATTAACAGGATCAAAAGTTAAAATCTAATTGATTGAGAGCATTCAATATAAACTAATTTTAAGTTTCAATTTGCTTCTGCTTCAAAACGGATCTTGGCGTAAAACCATCCACATCAAAATGAATTTCACCTGTGCGTGCATTGAGGGTCCACAATAGGGTTCTCAATTCCCGCTTTCCCGCCCATTTTTTCCTGTTCATCCTGCCATTCTGCCCATTTTTGCCTGGAAATCCCAATCCCGTCCACTTTTTAAAGACGTTTCTGCGTTAATTAATAATTTGTTAAATTAATAATTAATTTACTTATTAACACAGAAACTTTTTAAAAATGAAAATCATATAAAAGATTACAAACGAATTCAATGGGTAGCAGTTTCTTTCAGTAAACGGTTTAGATTGTTCATTCCCATATTTAATAGATGGCCCGTAAATACACTTGACAGGTTCTTTCAAAGCTTT